TATGAGGATGGCAGCTTAAAGTGCTGTTTAATCGAGCCCACGGAGTCCAAAGGCACATGAGGGTGCAGTGTGGCACTGCTGTTAACCCAGCCTGCTGAGTCCAGGGTCATATGAGGGGTCAGCGTGCGAGTGCTGATTCCCCAGTCCTCTCAGGCGTGCTCTGGTAGTGGGGGTGAGTGTCTGGGTGTGTTGCTAAGGTGGCAAGAACCCCGTCCTGAGGAACCTAGTTCCTATAGGAGAGCTCCAGTGGGATGGGGAATTGGCAGCAGGGAGAATTCAGCTCCATATGAGAGCACAAGTAGCACAAACAGCACATGGATAGAATTGTGAACCTCCCCCCAGCCCCATCAGAGTAACCCTGATAAATGGGCGTAACCCAGAGTATTGGGCAAATCTGGAAACACTGCGCAGCCCCTGGGCCATGGGCCGCGGTGGGTGCTCTAGCACTCCTGGGATGCAGCCACTCCACCGTTATCATGGAGGTCAGGCTCTGTGGCAGGAAGGCCTCTGATACCGGGGTAGATGGGGACCCGACTCGCTGAATTTCCCTCAGTCTCTTACCAGGCTGTCCACACGTCCGCAGACATTCCTCTTTAGTGGGTGCTCTAGCACTGCTGGGATGCAGCCGGTCCGTCGTTATCATGGAGGTCAGGCTCCGTGGCAGGAAGGTCTCTGTTACCAGGGTAGATGGGGACCTGACTCGCTGAATTTCCCTCAGTCTCTTACCAGGCTGTCCACACGTCCGCAGACATTCCACTTCAGTGGCAAACCTGTTCCCGTTGCCCTTGCAGCCGCCATAAATGAACCTCTCACAGCTCTTGGTGACGGGGTTGTAGAAGTAGCTGGGTATTCTTGCCTTGCATGGGCCAACCTCTGGAGGGAGCCGGCAGACGTCTCCAGCTGCAGAACAAAGAGGAACAAGTGAGGAGAAAGGGGGGATTCTGTACAGAAGCTCAGCTCAGCCTCCTCTTCCAAGCCAGCAGAGCTTTCACTCCAGGCCTGGCGGGATGTGCAGGAGTTTGCAGGGGTTGCAGCAGGAGATGAGGGACTGGCCCTAGTGCATGAAAAGAGTGTGGTGTATCCGAACCCTGCCGGCATTTAACAATTCTCAAGCACTGCAGCATTTGAACGATGAGCAAGAGCACAGTGGGGGCCAGATGTTGAGACCCTTTGTGCAAACCCCTGGACAGACAGAAGGGGCGCGCCCATTTCCATGCAGATTAGGTGCATAAAGGGGCAGGCTGAGCATTCTGGGGACTGGGATCCAAGTGCAAACATGACAGACCTTTGCCAGCGCCGTTCATGTTGTGTCTCTGGCCTGATTCTGTCCAGGGCCCCCCCACTGGCTCCCCTGGGGCTGGTTAAGGTCAATGAGCCCCAAGCCAGAGGGACACTCAGTGCAGAGGCAGGGGGGTCCCCTGCTGGGCGAGGGGCGGGTGCAGCTGTGAAATCTTGAGGTGCTGAGCCAGGGAAAGGCCTGGCAGCTGCACTGGGAGACCTGCCTGAGGAGGGACTGCAGGGCTGTGTCTACATAGGCCAGTTTTTCCGGAAAATCAGCCGCTTTTCCAGAAAAACTTGCCAGCTGTCTACACTGGCCGTTGAATTTCCGCAAAAGCACTGACTTCCTACTGTCTGAAATCAGTGCTTCTTGCAGAAATACTATTCTGCTCCCGTTCAGGCAAAAGTCCCTTTGCGCAAAAGGGTCAGTGTAGGCAGCTCAGATTTGTTTTGCGGAAAAAAAGCCCCGATCATGAAACGGTTTCAAACCTGTTCCCGTTCCCCAGGCAGCCGCCATAAATGAACGTCTCACAGCTCTTGGTGACGGGGTTGTAGAAGTACATGGTCATGTGGGCCTCACAAGGGCCAGCGTCCGGAGGGAGCTGGCAGACGTCCCCAGCTGCAGAACAAAGAGAAATAAGTGAGGGGGAAAGCGGGGATTCTGTACAGAAGCTCAGCTCAGCCTCCTATTCCAAGCCAGCAGAGCTCTCGCTCCAGGCCTGGCGGGATGTGCAGGGGCTGGAGCTGGAGATGAGGGACTGGCCCTAGTGCATGAGAAGAGTGTGCGGTGCATCCGAACACCGTGTCAGGCCCATTCTCAAGCACTGCAGCATTTGAAGGATTAGCCGGGGGTCAGATGCTGAGACCTGTTGTGCAAACCCCTGGACAGACAGAAGGGGCGCGCCCATTTCCATGCAGATTAGGTGCATAAAGGGGCAGGCTGAGCATTCTGGGGACTGGGATCCAAGTGCAAACATGACTGACCTTTGCCGGCGCCGTTCATGTTGTGTCTCTGGCCTGATTCTGTCCAGGGCCCCCCCACTGGCTCCCCTGGGGCTGGTTAAGGTCAATGAGCCCCAAGCCAGAGGGACACTCAGTGCAGAGGCAGGGGGTGCCCTGCTGGGCGAGGGGCGGGTGCAGCTGTGAAATCTTGAGGTGCTGAGCCAGGGAAAGGCCTGGCAGCTGCACTGGGAGACCTGCCTGATTCCCCTGATACTGACAATCCCTTTCATTGCCGCGGACTGAAACCAGCCGAGCGATTTGAGGGGATCCCTGGATAGGTGCTGCTGGGTGACGGGCCCCTGCGTGTATCTCAGCGACCCCACACACTCCAAGCGGCATCACACCAAGGGCGCCTGCGCACCTGGCTCGTCATACAGCCAGAGGGCGGCTGCTGCGTCGGCTCCATGGAGATCAGGGTCCCTGGACCAAGGCAAACTGGGCTTCTGGGCTGGAGGGGAAATGCCCAGGTGCATGGCAGCTGTGTGAGCCATTCCCCAGTGTCTGAGTCTGGGACACGCCTGCCCGTGAGCCCCGCCCCCGCTGTGCCAGAGACAAGGGTGAGTCCCTGCGGCAGCCAGCGGGCAGGGCTGGAGACGTGTCCAGCCGGGCAGTTCTTGTCATTAGCTCCCCAGCCGGGGCGCCCAAAGGGGCTGGGACGCAGCTGCCAGGACTCAGGGACCTTCCCTTTCGTTTCAGCTCCAGCACGAGCTGCACCGTGGACCCCGCTCGCCGGCTCCTCCACAGCCCCCTGCCCCTCCTCTGGCCAGGGGCAGAGTCCTCAGGGCAGGGCTGTCCCTTAGGCTACAGCTACACTTTAGCCTCCTTTCAGAAAAGCTTACGCAAATGAAGCGCGTCTTGGAATATCGCAGCACTTCATTTGCATAATTATTTAGCAGCCGCTTTGCACAAGAGGCTTTTGCCTCTGTTACCGGGGAAGCTGATGACCCCACTCGCTGAGTTTCCCTCAGTCTCTTACCAGGCTGTCCACACGCCCGCAGACATTCCTCTTTGGTGGAAAACCTGTTCCCGTTGCCCTTGCAGCCGCCATAAATGAACCTCTCACAGCTCTTGGTGACGGGGTTGTAGAAGTACATGGTCATGTGGGCCTCACAAGGGCCAGCGTCCGGAGGGAGCTGGCAGACGTCCCCAGCTGCAGAACAAAGAGGAACAAATGAGGGGAAAGGGGGGATTCTGTAGAGAAGCTCAGCTCAGCCTCCTCTTCCAAGCCAGCAGAGCTCTCGCTCCAGGCCTGGCGGGATGTGCAGCGGCCGGAGCTGGAGATGAGGGACTGGCCCTAGGGCATGAGAAGAGTGTGCGGTGCATCCGAACACCGTGTCAGGCCCATTCTCAAGCACTGCAGCATTTGAAGGATTAGCAGGAGCACAGCGGGGGCCAGATGTTGAGACCCGTTGTGCAAACCCCTGGACAGACAGAAGGGGCGCGCCCATTTCCATGCAGATTAAAAGAGTGTGGTGTATCCGAACCCTGCCGGCATTTAACAATTCTCAAGCACTGCAGCATTTGAACGATGAGCAAGAGCACAGCGGGGGCCAGATGTTGAGACCTGTTGTGCAAACCCCTGGACAGACAGAAGGGGCGCGCCCATTTCCATGCAGATTAGGTGCATAAAGGGGCAGGCTGAGCATTCTGGGGACTGGGATCCAAGTGCAAACATGACTGACCTTTGCCGGCGCCGTTCATGTTGTGTCTCTGGCCTGATTCTGTCCAGGGCCCCCCCACTGGCTCCCCTGGGGCTGAGGAGGGACTGCAGGAGTCGGGTCCTAGCGTTGACAGTCTCATTTCATTGCCATGGACTGAAACTAGCCCAGTGACTTGAGGGGATCCCGCCACTGGGGGCTGCTGGATGACGGGACCCTGCGTGTATCTTGTCTGTTGTTACCGACCAGCCCTGTGCTTCTGGGATCCAGGGAGTGACATTCATGGAAAACCATCTCCCCTCCGCCCTTCCCTTAAGCCTTTGCTGGAATCAGACAAAGCCATGAATAGGCCAGACAAGACACACCTCAACTAATTAAGGAAACACCCCAGCCTCATCTGCATTGAAGATAAAACTCATTAGCATACAGAATGGAGACCTGCTCTTCCAAGGCAGGAACCCCAGGGTACGTCTAGACTACAGGGTTTTGTCAACAGAAGTTTTGTTGACAGATACTGTCGACAAAGCTTCTGTCGACAGTTCTAGTAAAGATCCTGCACGCTGCACGGAGTAGCTAGTTCGGA